CCATACATTCGATAGTTTCCATTTTTTTTCTATCCTAATGAAATAACACGTAAATTGGCGGAAGAACCTATTTCGGGAATGCGAGATTTATCCTTATCGGGACTCGGAAATTAATGATTATTTTTGGGGGAATTCGGGATGACACTCCTCCTACCGCCCCTCAACATAAGTCGTATGAGCTTAAAACTCCAATGACATTCGCACGGTTTGTTATTTTTTAAACTTTATAAATAAACTTTAAACTTTAGTAAAAAAAATCCACCCACAGATTGTAGAATGTATACGGTAGAGATTCTAATAGTGTTATACTATTGCATAACGAAAGAATCTATGTTTTCAAAATTAAATAATGTTTGATACGCCCTATTGGCGGAAAAGTAGTGGGATTTAATACATTCACCAGATGTTGCATGCGCTCCATTATCCTTACATTTTCGTAGGATCTGTACGTTAATTCGTTTTTGTTTTCAATGTACTGCTGACGAAACTCAGAAATAATTTGTTGTATTACAGGTCCAAAAATGTATGAGATAACTAATGTTGGTAAAGATGTTCCTTAACAAAATGTATGAGATAACTAATGTTGGTAAAGATGTTCCTTAACAAAATGTAATCAATAACATCGGCTGTTATGTACTTTCTTTAAAATCTTCAATAAGCATGACATGACAGCAATGGTTCTAAACAGATCACGTGATGCTTAAGCCACACAGTTTAACCAAGTCTACATCGAAATTTTATCATAGAAAACTACAATAAAAATGTATTGACTAATAAGTTAAATCGAGGTATGATACATTGTTTATACACTGTAAAGGAGAGGCGAACTATACCTGATGGGACATTTAGACACAAAACTCGAAAATAAACTGACAACGCTATGGCATAAAACAAAGAAAGATAAAATGACAAACAACACTATACAAAACTAACAAATTAGAATCAAGAACCCCACTAAAAACCGGGGATATTCTCAGATGCTCCGGGACAGGGTGCTCCGGAAATTTGGTTACGAGATTATGTTCTAATACTGACGTGTTGACCATGTACGTCTAATTCGATAGGTCTTATTCGAGAAAAAAAGGACGGATTGTGGTTTGAATATCTGGAACAAATCCGTCGTCATCTGTGAATAGATATTCTATAAAGGTCAACCAATTCAACTCATTATGACGTTTGTTGGATTTTGGAAGGAGCGAGTTTAACTTCACCATTTAGAACTTTAAGTTTAATAATTTCCCTCTATCACGAAAAGTATGATAAAAATGTCAGCTATGGAATATTGTATCAACAGGAAGATATATATCACATATACAGGCGTGCTGAAAAGTTGCTACATAGAAATGGAATGTTTATAATAAGCTGAAAGCATCTGTTTTGTCGTATTGTGTTTTCATTTACCGACCCTCGTTGTTTCTAGATATAATTCAAGATTTGACTTTACCTGTTATATCTGTTATTTCAAGTTTGATGGGATAGATGCATTTATCATAGTAAACTTTGAAATATTTAGTGATAGGGCATCAACTACGTAGCGGGAAGTGAAGTTAAGGGGTAATGCTAGCTTCTTCCCATTCTTCCTGAGAAGCTCCTGTATGAAGCCAACCTTAAATGAGTACAGGAACAGGTTTTGAATTTCCAACTGAATTGTCATTACATTTTGTACCTTATTCATTTATCAAGCATTTTTGTAAAGTGATTTATACACAAAAAAGATGTTTTTGTGCTATGTCTGCGGAGCTGTAATAATGAAAGTGATGAACTTTATTTGCATTTACTTTTGTTTAAATGATATATACTGATAACATGTATGTATTTATTTTGCAGGAGCTTAATGACTATCACTAATAGTTGAAGTATGATGTAACGATCACTCATATATTAAAGTAATAATATTTCATTTTGACATTGAAGTCGCACCACATTCAATAGACATGTATGAATGGCTTTCTAGACTAATACCACTAAATTAAATAATTGTATTGGAATGATCTGCTGCAGTGAAATTTATATATATTCGGTTTCATTGAATTATTTATAAAACCTCAAATTTCTCTAGAAGCATGCAATCATTTCAATAATCATTATTTCTGATTGTCGAGTATCAGGAGTTTTTGTATTTGATTACATAACAGAAAACATAGACATTTAATTGACATAATTATTTAATATTGTTTATAAAAAGTACAGACGATTTCAAGGCAAACCCATCAAGGAATAAAGAAAGTGTATTGGTTTAGAATGACACACGATGGTACTTCGGAAGCGGAAAATAACGTTTCAAAATCTACCATTTATCGATCAAAGTTGGTTAACTTTTAGCTGAAGTTCTTAACTAAAGGCGAATTATTCAGTCAAAATATCTTTCAACAGGGAAAAAGAGAGGCAAAAGATACCAATTCGAAAGAAACATTCTAACTCTTAAATTGAAAGTAAACTGTTAAAGCTATGGCAAAAAAGTGCACATGAACTTTTCATTCTAGGATAAAAAAAAAATACAAAACGTCATAGTAAAAGTTGCACATTTTTAGCCGTAAAGGATTTCCTATGGGAAATTCCATTGTCTAATAAAATTACAGTAGTGCAACTTTAAAGTGGTTTCCTGCAGTTGGGTTTTGGTGTGTTTTAGTAATCAGTCTGCCATGACGTCTGAAAACTTCGTACGCAGGTGACTTTGCATTCGTAACTCTGTCTCGCAAATGACATGAATGACGTTTCATAATGAAATGTTATTAACGTGAAATTTTCTTATAATATTAAGCTGACTTACACCAGCCTGCAACATTCATATGACTTGATCGAGATTATCAATACTCGCTCTCAACAATATAAAATTTCCACACAAATAAAAAACATAAAAAAAATCATGCTTACTATAAAGATTATTCATGGTATTTATAATATGTCCGATACAGGTTAATGTTAGCATGACATAATATATATAATTTATAAAAGGATAGGATACAAGGAATTCAAAAGATATTAAGGAAAAAATATGGTCCATTGAAAGCTCCAACGACCGTTCCTTCTGAGAAAAATGTCATTATATAAACCAAAGCTAGCAACTATCAACACATGGTTCAGGTAGCCTGATCCGGTACATGTACACAGTGTAGTTGGGCAAAATCAGCTTCATGTGCGAATTTGTACGATGGAGAGTTGTCTCATTTTAAACCATACTACATCTTTACTTTAGAAATAACAGACGACGCATAATTTGAAAAGCAAGGTCTGTCTTCCGCTTTACATAAGCTCCCTTAGAATCTGTGTTATAAACAATGCCATAATATCTGTTCCTGTTGGAATAAATATTATATTCCATTTATTCTGTAAGTTACACATTCTGTAATATTTGTTCCAGTGGAAAAAATATACCAGAATATTTCTTCTATTTGAAACTTATTTTATGAAGGAACTCCTATTCCATGGCGTGTGCTGCTACAAAGACCTAGCTGAGAAAACTACAGCTGTGATGTGAATAATGATCCTCGACAAAAACTACAAAAATCAGAAACAACACTCCTTACAGATTTGATAAAGTTCTGTTCTCATAAATGTAATTGATATCGGCATTATTTACCTGGTTCATGCATTTCTGATTGATGCAACTCACACTTGTAAATTTTGCAAGTTCCACTTTTTTTCAGAAACTCTATGAAAAACGTGTCACCGTATTTCAGTTAAGCTTTTTATGACCATAGTTGTTATATTGTTGGTCAGATGCAATGAATAATTTGTTGAAATTTAACAACAGCTGTGTTCTTCAATGATGATACGTAGCATGATAGACATTTATAACGTGTTGTTTTCATTTTAGTAATTAATTCACTTCAAACCGGCACATCATTGGAAGAAATGTATCTGTCTTTTGATTCGTTGAATGAAAAGTACTTATTATTCGATTTCATGAAGTTGAATTCTGTGAAAAATCGAAAATGAATAGTTTGATTAGTTATCATCGTGCTTAGTTTTAAAATGTAATCCTTAAAATAGAGGTTATCAGTTTCCACCCAGATAATTGGCAATTATTTTAAATGTCAAAATTATAATTTAAACTTTCAATTTTACTCAATTGGAAAAGATTCACACGCTATATTCAAATATCCGCTTGACAAAGGTAAGGTTCTGTTTATATTTAAGAATGCATGTTAACATTTTTAGACGTCTCCCTGCAAATTCATATATTGATCTAGATTCGATAGGAATATCCATTAGCCAAGGCCTTGAAATCCATTTTTTCAATTTACGAAACGCTTTAATCGTCTCAAGAGGTGGTAAACATATCTATTTTTTGCAAATTGTGTGATACAATATTAATTTGCGTAAATGCTAAACAATCCATGATTTCCTAAAAAACAATGTTATAAACCGCTTATTTCCCCTTAGACATATTCAATGAAACATAGTCATCCAAAGTTTTGACTGACTATGTTAAGAATTGAAATTGGGGCGTCGAATGGACTAACTCGGTGTTTTATCAAAAGGAATATTTTCTAATGAATGTATTTATCTCGCCCACCTTCTTCCTAACCTGAAGTAGAGGAGATAATATTAGAACACTCTATATAACTCACATGGAAATGCATTAACTCATTAGATCGATACAAAGCAAAAAAAAAAAAAAAAACATCAAACAAAACCACAGACAGCACGTGGTAGGGTATTATACATCAATAAAAAAATAAAAAAAAACCAAAAAGTACAGATCTGAGCGTACTCGCAGTCACTGTCAGCAAATTAAAAGCCAATGACAACTAAAACAAAAATCGTGTATCTAAGACTGAGTTTCCCAATTTCAGACGCATTAGGGATATTGACCCATTTGAAGGAGATTCTAGCCACAGAGTACAGGTCCGTCAAATTTTAAAACATTCTAGTCAGACAGGTAATTTATTATAACAGACACAATATTTGAAATATTTTGATCGATAAATGTGATCTGTTTTTCCTGTTTTCAAAAATAATAATATTTATCATTTTCCTTTGAAATTTGTAGACAATTTTGATTTATTACAGAATTTCAAGGCTAGGTATGTGTTAACTTTTGTTTCGGAATATTCATACGATTAATAAAATAGCGCTGACCACCCAGTTCTTCGTCAGCTAAAACATGGAGGAACATGTTTTTAAAAAGCTTATTTAGACAAAACTAAAAAAAGAATTTCAACGTAAAAAAAAACAAAAAAACAAGTGATATATTAAAGTCATGAAATTTGATTTTTAAATCCGAAATTTAATATTTTCCATTGTGTACCAGATAAAAGTGTAGCATTGTTACATAAGGATATGTGTAGTATTGTTTCATAAGGATATGTGTAGTATTGTTACATAAGGATATGTGTAGTATTGTAAAATAAGGATAAAGGATATGTGTAGTATTGTTAAATAAGGATATGTGTAATATTGTTACATAAGGATATGTGTAGTATTGTTACATAAGGGTATGTGTAGTATTGTTTCATAATGATATGTGCAGTATTGTTGCATAAGGATATGTGTAGTACTGTTACATAAGGATATGAGTAGTATTGTTACATAATGATATGTGTAGTATTGTTACATAAGGATATGTGTAGTATTGTTACATAGGGATATGTGTAGTATTGTTACATAAAGATATGTGTAGTATTGTTACATAAGGATTCATTCAACATGTGATGGCGCCATCGTGTGCGATAGATGGATTATTTCACCGTTCATTATCCTGTTCTTCTAAACATACAGAAAGCAACACGATTGCATAATTATATAAACGAGCATGCCTTTAAATGATAAATAATTCTAAACTTCCATAAGTAAATAAGAACGAACATTAGAAATGACATTTTAAACTCGTGACAATGATATTTGATATTCAATTTTGGTTTATAAAACTTAAGTTATAAACATGATGTTAACTTAAACAGTTAATGTTGCATCTATAAGGAAACTGTCGGGTTTGATAGAAACAATTATCTGTGTCACTAAAAAAAATGTGCATATTTTATTAAACATGCATTTCAGAAAAAAATAAATTGTCTTGGAACATAATTGTTTTGCACCATATCATCTCTTGGTACCATCAATGTCTGTGCAATATAATCAATAGGACCATGATTTTAAATCGCCAGGACGTTTCGAAAACAAAATTATCAATCTATTTTGTTATACGTAATAATCTCAAAATTTGTCTTGTATGATACATGAAAGAGAAACATTTTGCAAATTATCAATTTTAAGTCTCTAAACATACATGAGAAAGCTTTTAAACTTCATTTTACAAATCAAAAATATTAAAAAAAAAATTCAAAAACCACTTACATTTGAAATATTAAAATATCTGTATATTTGTATTACTTATATTAACGTTTAAATATAATGCAGTTTCATTTACACTATTTCTGTATTAGACTTATGCAAAAAGGATGGAAAGGAAATAATTTACAAAACAAAGTGCTGTTTTACGTAGCTGATCTAATGTTATGTAGGGGAAACTGTGATACAAAGCTGAAAAACAGGTATCAAAATACAAAATAAAATGAACTTCAATAAAGTATACAATAAATCGCCTTCAACAAAAATGCATTGTAATGAACATATACATGTACAGTTTTATATTAGATAATTTTGTCAACTACATCATGTACATAACAACATTGCAACTAGATAACGATATTTACTGAAATGTTATAGCTTGCTATGCGGTATGGGTTTTGCTCAATGCTGAAGGTCTTACGTTGACCTATAGTTGCTTATTCTCTACGTCATTTGGTCTCCGATGGAGGGATGTTCCTTTAGCAATAAAACCAAATATATATGTAGGGGACTGTTACATGTGAAACAAAGTGGAAGCATTCATATGTTTACTTGAAATTCTCGCTGATAATGCTACTCAATGGAACTTTATTAATTTTACACAGGCACTGTGGGTAATACTAGGTGTAATATTAAAGTTACAATACAAATGTAAATTTAACAAGTTACCGAGTGGGTGTCTTGCAAAATCTGAATCACTCCAGTCATTTTAAAATTCAATTGGAAAAGTTTTTTCAGTTTGTCTTGTTTGGTCGAAACGAATGTCTGCCGTACAAAATATAAATCAGGTATGTATGATTACCTCTTGTTTTATATTTCTACACTTCTTGTATCGATACCTTCGATACCAGGTTGTAAAAGCTTTTCAACGTTACCAATATGACAAATATATTTAATCGATTCTTTGATTATTTCATTAACAAAATCCTACAGCGTTATGTAAGTAGACATATTCTCGAGGTACAGCCAATAGTTTTTACTAATAATTTCATGCTACCAAATTACAGATCAAATAGCGGAAAATAATTCTTCAATATATGGCAAGTAAAACAGTTGAAAGATTTTACTACATATATGTTTAAACTGGAACATATTATGGCAATTTTAAGAAACAGCGATAAGTGGTTTTACTGGGACAGATAGTTTATCTTACCTAACGTATCCTTTTGCAGCTGTCATTAAAATATTCTCAATGTAGCTTAAAACCAACATCTAAATTGCATAAAAAATGCTATTCCTACCCCAACAAATGTCCAAATAGAGCATACAACGCGAGATGCTTGGCTGGGACACAAATAAACAAATGTTATTAAGAGACTTATCTATTGTTATTATATTAAACATGTTAAATACTGTTAACTATTTTTTATTTGATATTCAATTTATATAGTATTACATTGTGACTTTTACACTATTTTTTTGAAGATTTGATATTATATACATGATATGATTACGAGTAATTTGAATCATTTTTAAATGTTCTACCAAAGTTATGACAAAGGAGCTTATTAAAGGGTTGACTGGGGTAACTATATATTGCCAGAGTTGAATATCCCATCCGTCGGTAAGTGTATGTCTTAAACCAAAGGGTTGACTGGGGTAATTAAATACGGCCAGAGTTGAATATCCCATCCGTCGGTGAGTGTATGCCTTAAACCAAAGGATTGACTGGGGTAATTAAATACGGCCAGAGTTGAATATCCCATCCGTCGGTAAGTGTATGCCTTAAACCAAAGGGTTGACTGGGGTAATTAAATACGGCCAGAGTTGAATATCCCATCCGTCGGTAAGGGTATGCCTTAAACCAAAGGGTTGACTGGGGTATTTAAATACGGCCAGACTTGAATATCCCATCCGTCGGTGAGTGTATGCCTTAAACCAAAGGGCTGACTGGGGTAATTAAATACGACCAGAGTTGAATACCCCATCCGGCGGTGAGTGTATGCTTTACAACAGACGTAAAATATTGTATTTACGAAATTGTTACTTGTGAACAATTTGTATCATTTTACTATCTCATAACATTAAAAATTATATTTTACAGTACAATGGATCGTTCTCCTGCTGTCTCAGTTCTCATTATGTTAACTGCAATTTCTAGTTAACGTGGTATAGTATTGTTATTGGAATTTTAATTCTCCTCTTACTTTCTCAATGTTTGATTCATTGGTATTTTATTTCAGCATTATATACCGTATATCGGGGTTTTTTTTTTCGCTTCGGCTTTTTTTTTACGATTTGTTGACAAAATGGGCAGCTTAAATTTTTACTGTGTATAATTTTCGCTAAATGGGAAAATACACGCAAAACAACCCCACTGTATTGTATTATAACAAGATGTAAACAACATAAACTTGATTGACTGACAAATAATCGATAGCAAATAAACGATCTTTTAATAACTGTTTAGATAAGGTTCATTGCTGCATGATAAAAAATGAAGGTTTTGGTCGTTTTTATGCTTGTGTAACAGATACTTTTGAAAGCGTATTTGTGCAAATATCCGTTTAAATGTGATTTATTTTGATTTTATTTTTGATCATTTTTACATTGTATGCAAAATGTTTGGGTTATGATAACAATCAATAGACGTCGCTAATTAATATTTTTGAACAGTTCACTGAGTGCCGTGGTGTCGAACGGTATGACATGTTTGATAATACAGTTATTCATTATGAAAACAGAGATCTTAATTAATTATGCACAATCAACCGATCAACACAAAAGACTGATTTTATATATGACGTAATGTCGCCTTCAGGGGGAAAAGAGTTTACATATCAAGTTGTGATAACTCGATTTTTAACAGTTTAATGTCAGAAATAAATCTAGGAAAAGGCAGGGAAATTTAAACGGGGTTATATGTTCACGTTTCTGTGGGTGCCGCGAACAAAGCAAAAATTAAACACACGCGAAAAAAATAACCCAAACGATAAACGGTATCTTTATTCCTTATGCTATCCTCTTGACATGTTTCTTGCAATATGCCAAGCTCTAAATCGTTGACGTGCATGTACATTTATTCTTAATCGATGTATTAACAAAAAGTTATTTAGACAAAACATTCAAGTAGGCTTATCACATAATACTGAAACAGTTACCTGATTAAAACAACATGTAAAGTGTAATCAAAACCATGGTTACTACAATGTGAATTGTTTCAAACAATGTTCGTTGACGTCTAGTATATACTTGCTCATAAGAAATCATAACGGCGTTTGCTCTTTTATATATATCTGTGGCCAAACTTCTTATATAAATCCATACAGCAATTAAAGAAACATCCCTTGTAAAGGAATCGTAGTCTTAAACGGTCGTTTTGGTCTTGATATCATCTGAAGAGTCTAAACAATAAATTGTTAAGTCATGTTCCGTCGTTCAGCCAATTTCCTGACGTATGTAATACGGTATATTCAGTATTGCTCAAAAAATTAGCTTGAAGTCAATTCAGTATTGTTCAATAGCTTTTCAGACCAGTCAGTATGATGGTGATGTGTACAGATAATTTAAAAGTACTGAACAGTCTGAATATAAACTGAACGACTGTAAGCGAATATTTCGTCTTAATAAGAATATGACGCAAAGTGGTATATAGGGTAGAAAAATCAAAAATTTGAACAGATTCGAAATCACCAATATAAGCATGCAATTTATCAAGTACTTCAAACGAATTTTTGACACTCCAAAAATAATTGATTCCGCTATTTTCAAAGGCATTATTTGAACAATTTATTAC